TACTTCCGTTTAACACTGGCTACATGCAATATATTTTTTTCCTGACTATATGAAAAAAAAAACAGAAAAGTCCTGTACCTAACACAACAATTCTTACATCAGTGAGGCAGCGGCATAAAACAACTAGAACGCTGATGCTAGTTTTCGTATACAATCATAAAATAAAGATACTATATGGTCAACCCACAGAGCACTGGTGATAGTGTGTCCCAGGTGCAACTGAAAGCCTTCTCAGAGGAAGAGGAGACCAATTTCTACACAGGAAAAAATTAATATGGGGCAGCTGTTTTGTTACAGTCTGCAGAACTGAGTAGATAGCTTCTTTTTAAGACGGGGAAAGGAATTGCAAATTCCAGAGCAAATCAAAGACTACTGAACAACAGCTTAACCTGCTCCTTTTCAGACTTTTTTTTTGCAGTTCATTCACTCTAAAATAGACAGAACCAAGCCTTGCAAACACTTTCTCTGCGAGTGAGCAGAAATAATCCATAATCTGCACATGTAGGAAGAACAGTGGATGTGTAAGCAAAAGAGAAACAGAGATCCACCCGTATTCGTGCAGAATACAAGCCTCTCTCTCAGTAATTGTTTTTCCATTCCATTTCTTGGCTCAAGAACTACTAAGCAAGTCTCTCAGAGCTGACTTATTCATCCTTGCACCTTCTTCTGCCTGCTCTCAGTCGTGACAGGAGTGTGTCCGAGGTCTCCAACATCTTATGTTTTACCTCCTTAAAAAAACAATCACCTAAACACTTAAGTTTAGGGTGTTTGGTTTGGCCCAGGCCATGCCCCGGCAGCTAACAGGTTTGCTTTCTGACCAGTGTCTTACTGAATAGTTTATCTGGGACTGGTCAAGATGCTTGTTAAGACCAGCTGCTGTGCCAACGCCCTTGCAAATAAACACCCGGCTGGTCGAGACAGTACAACTGCTGCCCTGAAGCTCTTGGATGTTGAGCATACTCCAACTTTGCAGCCTCAGCTTTAGCATTTTAAAACTCTCAAGGGTTGGAATAGGAAAAACAAGAGGAAAAAAGGTCGGAAGAATGCACTGGCGTGAGGTAGGCAATGCACAGCTAGGTAGTGTCCTTTGAGGGACCAGTATGCCAATGACATTGAAGGCGGAAAGGTTTAAAGATGACTGTAAAGGAGGGTAATGTTGAACTGGAGCGAGCGGAGGCAGCTCAAGTTTTTAACCGGTGTACATACTGCTTAATGGAAGTTGTTTCCATTTCCTGAGGTGAGCTTTCCTCCCATTCGGAGGAACAATTTAGCTGAAGACTGCCATACTGCACTACATTTCCCACCCATCTATTCCACGTAGCAAAAACAAGACTGCGTCTTACGCTGGATCTCTGACGTCTCTGGTGATGCGGTAATTCCAGTCACGGAAAAACTCGTTTTCTTTGTCAAATTCACGCTCGTCTTCTCCAATAGTCACAGTGAACCTCTTCTCCTCAAAGTCAGGCTCCTGTTCTTTTCTCATAGTTGCCTTTTTTAATACCTGCCATAACATAAAAAAAAAAAACATTGTAAAGAGAGAACGTTTCTGAGGCACAGAGAAATTGCAATATTAAAAATCCTTCACTTGGGAGAAACCTGCTCTTCAACTAAAACATCCTTCTTCCGCCCAAGTCTTACGAATGTGCAGGACACTGGAGTTTTCTTGACACAGAAAGTGTAATTCACTATTCCATCAGCTCAGAACAGCGGCAGACAGGCGATAAAAGTTTCACACGTGCTGACCCCATTTTCTGAAACGATCAGACACATGGACCCTATAGGTGCTAGAGAAACAGGTACTGAAGTAAGGGAAACTGGATCAGCTTCAAAAGTTTTGCTTTGTGGAGGGCTTGACTTCAGGGCCACAAACTTTCCCTAGCTCATGTTAATATAAAAAAACCAAACCTGGATGCCAGCTCCTCTTGACCGTATAGCAACTGTGATATACAGCAAGATGCAGTTAATAGGTTGAAAGGCAAAAGGAAGGCTCCTTAAAAAGAGCAAGACACTACATGCTCCAAAAAGAGCTCTTCCAGCACCCTGCTCTCAGTGAAACAGGCCAGCGGATTTTGGAGACAGTCAGCATACTTCCCGAGGATGCCATTTACCTCTTTAGCGTGGCGGAGTCCTCTCTCCCAGGCACTTTCTGTTGGAGGGTCTGGAGGGGGCGGAGGTAAGATTTCATCAACAACTGGCCCTCCCTGTTAGAAAGGTGAGAAGAGGAAAGAGACAGACACTTGACATTAGTTTTAAGTAGCAAACTCATGCTTTGTAAACAAGTTACCCCAGAGTACCTCCGGATACTCCGGAGATGTATCAGCAGGACATAAGCTGGGACACACATGGAAAATTATTCCTCTCTACTAGCAACTTCAAGACCACCTTTTAAAAATCACAAATCCAATAGATGTATTGAATTCTGCTAAAGCACTAGTAGCTCAAATAAAATCTTCACTTCTCCTAGAGCAGGAGACAAAAGCTATGTGCAGAAGCCATAAATTCACAGAAAAGATGTCCATACCCAAGGGTTGGCTGGCATCAGTGGGTGAGGGCCGATAGGAGGAGCGCCGTTTGGGGAGAAGGGCTCAGGCTTGGAGATCAGGGAGTAGTTTCCTTTGTCATTCACGCCAGGGTGAATAAATCGACAGTTCATGCCCCAAGTACAGTGACCTGCGGAAATACAGTTCTGTCAGACCCCTGTTTACCTACAGCAAGCATTTGTTCAGCCCCAAAACCATTTAAAAGCCATCAAGGAATAATGCTGTTTCAGACAATGAGGCTTTTCTTCTCTCCAACTTTGTTGAGATTTACCCTTTTTCATACACATGGAACGACACTTGCCACTCCCCCGCCTTCCCAGAGAGGACAAATAGATCCAGCCACAGATGGGTGAACGTACAAGAACCTTATTATGGCGGGGAGAAGGGAGGGATGGATGCATGCACACCGTTAAGCAAATGCAGTAATAAGGCTATGAGCTCTTCAAGTCTTATTAATGACAAACACTTCAAGTTAGGAGCTTTACCTTTTACAGAAAACAATGAATATAACCTGACAACAAAGAAAGCATCACAGTGCATTCAAAACAAACAGCTTTCTGGTGAGGCACGAAGTACATCAAAGCTTTTCTCTCCAGCCGACTCCACAGGCTTGCCAGCACAACGCAGGAAAGGAGACATCGCTACGGAGGGCAGCAGACGAATCTGAAGCCGCTCATTAGCTTTAGGTACCACCCTCAAAGAGATGGTAACACTCAGGGGTCTCTAACAGGATACAAAGCTAATGCCCAACTTTATTTTAGCTTGCCTTTGAAACAAACCCCTTTTTTTTTTCCGGCAATCCACTCAACATCAGGCAACAGACATTTTGCAGATTTCCCGGCAGACACCTGCATCACAAAGTCGCCGCTAATTCAGCGCTAGCTCAGGCATCAGCACAGTGACTTCAGAGGCAATGGAGCATTTAACACTGCTGTGGCCCACGGAGGAATCCCCAGTCAAGGCTGGCAGGGCAGCATGTCAGAAATCCACGCTGCACCTGGGTCCCTGGAAATGCTCCTCCTCAGTCCCAGATTAACCATGGGCTGGTGTTCTCTGTCAGAGGCAACACTGGACGCTTTTGTACTGTCAAACGTCACGAGAGCACAAATCCCTTTGCACAGCAGCTCATGAAGCAACACATCCTTTCTCAATGCCTGAGCACCGGGTGTAGGGGCTGCCAGACACCTACGCAAACACTTACTATCCCTACTGAAGTGTCAAGGGGAATGATTACCCTGGCAAGTAAGGGGCCCTGCTACTTATGTCAAGGCGGCTACACATCCAGCTACTTCACTGGAAGGATTTCCAAGCTAGCCAATTCACGCCGCTGGACAGACGCAGCCACATGAGTGCTCCTCAGACACAGCAAGGACAAAAGTCTGAATGTCTTCAGGGTCCCACGCGAGCAGCGCCTGATCCCCCTGGTGGCAATAAAGCCCTTAAGGGGCGAGCAAGAGTGGATGTCAACGTTACCTGAACCCACGCCAAATCAAAGAAAAACAACTGCGGCAGGAGATCCTGCAGCCTGAACTTTGACTCAGGCAAATACTTCCACGCTGCATGGAGGCGTACGTCACACTGAGGATTCAGGAACAAACAGCTCTCCTCGCCGAGGGACTTCCCTGTTCCACCATCTTCACCAACACGTTCGTGTCTCAGCACAGGCAGAAAATTCGATACCGGAAGACATTCAGGAAGCCAAGTACACGATATCTGATGGTCAGATCTCCGGAAACCCCCTAAGCAGTTCCCTACGTTGCATATGCCAGTGACGCAAGGAATAAGAGACTCCACCCTGTTCTCCACCCTTCTTTTAATTTCAGATTTTCATAAATTGTTTCATGGGAGATTGTAAATAAAACCAAGTAAATGAGCAAACATTAAGTGACATGAAGCTGAAGGAAGTGGAAGACAGCTATGATCAGTTTAAGTAAGAAAACTTTTATAAAACCTATTCTCTACGCTAAAAAAAATTGCAGGACAGTCTAAGATAGCTGTTGTGCAGTTGCACAAACTTTGGGGAATGTCCTATTAAGAAGAATTTAAAAAAAGAAATACAATTGGTTAGATTTAAAAGTTTCAAGTCTTAGGTCTCATTCGCAGTAAGAAATACTTTTTATCATTTCCTGCCCCCAATTCCTTCCGACTCAGACTGACAATCCCAATCATATTTCAGAAATGTGGTATGTGATACAGTGTGGAGCAACCTTCCGGCTTGAGGAAAAAGTTTCTATTCACATGAGGATTATTTTTTTTCCAGCTGACCATTTCCTCAGCCCAGTGGAAGTACCGGCCACCGCCACATCTCACCCCGTCAGCTCCAGCGTCACCCCTCCAGCGCGCCGTCTCGCTGGGGTTTCTGGGTTGCTTGCAAAAACAGCTATACGTGAGTTGCCAACACCTGACACCATTACGCGGGCAACGCAGGAACCCGGTCAACAGATGCGTCTGCAGGGGCTGCAGCAGCTCGGGGGACGTCAGCACGATGTCACACCACTATTTCTTAGCAGGAAACAGTATTTCTAGCCCTACTTTTGATTTTAAAATTTCATCAAATGTCTTTTAATAACTGGGGAAGTGAGATGGATATGGGATTGCAAGAAACAATTACGTTTTGGCAAGGCATGAGCTTGATAAGAAATAACGAGTATTTGCCATTTTTTGTTTTCCACAGAATAACCTCTAAGCAACAGCTGACTGTTACATCAGCCCAAGCAGTTTTATTCCATGCTGTTTTAAAAACACTAGCGAGTTTTCCTTTATTTGCTTCTACTGGGCTCACCATACTTTGGGCAAAGCAATTTTTGCATATTGGCTCTATGTAAATTCAGCATCTGGCCACCAAGCCGTGCATGTCATTACCTTTCATGAAGAATCGGCAGGTGGGACGTGGCCTCACTTTTCTGTCGCTGGGGTCTTTGACTTCTCCTTCTTCTAAGTCATCATCCTGGAACAGACAGACAAGCTGACATTTCACGTGGTGCATTTTCTGCAGCGACTTGACATTTCACAATATGGTCAAATATCAGTCACTGAAAACACACCCTGGAGCAAAACACAAGAGAAAAGTAATATAAAGTTACAATAAATACCCGTGAGCGCCCAATGTACTGCTACAAACAGGAAGATGCATCAACTTCAGTGCTTCAAAGGTGACTGCAAAACCCTTCAGGCGTTACGGACACCTTGGTGCCACACCACAGACCAAGGTTTCAAGCTGCACCATTTTACCCGATGTATGCTTAAAGGCTCCAAATCAACAGTACAGTGGATTAAGCTCTTATACCTCAGCTGAACGGGGCTGGCTGTGCACTTTTAGCTGGCAGTACGTGCAAGGCAGTTAGAGGCAACTTCACACTCTTTTGAGGCAAACGAGCTGAATCGCGTTACCTTTCCTTCCCGCAGGCTGCTCCAACAGCTACCGCGGCTCCGCTGGTGTGGGCAATACCGCTACCCTTCAGAGCCTTTAAACTGGACTGTCCCCTGCTCGGCACTCGTGTCATCCCTATTTAGCTCAAGCCAATTCCTTCTGTTCATTGATTTAAAACACACCGTGGTATTCCCGCATTAATGCAATAACCCAGTACAGACATCACACCCCTATACATCAAGTTCTGAAGGATGGTTGCTATTACAACAGCTAATTATAAAATGCTTCCCCACAACGCTGAGCGACAATCTCGCGCACAAGCTTTTCAGGAAAAAAAAGTCACACGTATTTCTCCCGGTCCTCTCTGGCAACAACTTGACACCTTCCCTTCTACTCCTCAGCTCCACACAGGAGCTGCGAATCAGCTCTAACAAAACTCTACGTTATCCCCAGGCACAGCAACCCCAGGAAGAAATTCTGGGAGATGGAGGTTGCTTCAAAGATCAAGAACCACAAGGGACGAGCGTGAAATAACAGTCATGAAACACCTCCCGAAGAAAGTTGTTGAAACTTTAGAGTACCAGCCTTTGCCTTTGCTCTCCAGGGAAAAAAAGCCTTCAGTGGCTTCATTAAGCTGCATCCGAAAAGTCAAAAGGAGCTAAAAAGAGGTGGTGATGCAGAAGGCAAAGGCATACACGACCAGAGAGTTGTCAGAGGTATCTGGCAAGGAAGTCAGTTATTTATCCTGAAAGGCACCCTGGCCTTCCCTCGGCCTGCCTCCAGTTCACCGCCACAGAAGTTGTCAGCATATGAAACACATCTGAAGAGGGAGCATCTGGTGGAGGCCTTCCCTTTGCGTGGCAATCGCAGCAACCCTGTGACAGTGACAGCAGTTGTCTACATGGAAAAGATTAAGAAAGTTATGTACTTTGATCAATTTAGCAGCTGGAAAGGAGGAAAAACCATCACTCGGCTGTAGATAAACAAAGGATGTACAGAGATGGGTTAACAGCCTCTTCTGCTGCATTCCTCTGAGGGCAATACAAGGAGAGCTCTCCTGAACAAGAGCGGATTTTAAAGACTACACATATATTCAAATTAAAATTTGCATTAATATCCCCCCCCCAAGACAGAACTCTGAAAGCAGAATAAAATGCAGAGATTTAACAGTTTCCTCCAAAGCTGGGGATGGCATTCAACGACTTGTGAATGGTATAACCAGCTCAACTCTGCTTCTTTCAAAAGAACTGTGTGAAGTCTTTGCAAATGCTGTACTTGAACAAAAGGGAAAGTATTTATTTCTGTGAGGTCTCCTTGGAATCAGGCAGCTGGGAACCCTGTTATGAGTTAATGTATGAAAACCAGAGTACAGATTCATCTTGTGCTTTGTAAGGAGAGCGCTCTCAAGAATGCCTTAGACACTAAAGGAAAGCATTCATATTTTAATCAAGAAGCAGGCATGGAGTCAGGACTCCAGGATTTTTTTTTTTTCCCCTGCCTGGACTCTCCCACAACACACCAAATTCCTTGTAACTGAATCAGAAATACATGGGAAAGACGTAAGTGTTTAACAAAATCACCTGCCAAAATGGGCGTGAAGAAGAAAAAAATAACATCACCTTTTTTTAAGCAACAGAACTTGTCAAAGCACCATTAGAGTGAAAAATACACAATATACCACTCTTCAATAAAAAGGGAGGAGGGTCTCTCCAGCAAGGCTCCGCGAGCTTCCCGAGCATGCGGCCAGGTCAGCTACACAGCAATGGGGACGGGAAGGCAACAGCATCTCCCAAGTCTGAACCCTCCCTTCCTTGGCTGAGAAGCCCCACCAGTGACCCCATCCACAGCCCACTGCTCCCTTGCCTGGTCACCAGGATATTCTCACAACACTGCCCCAACCTAGTCTAGTTGTGCAGGAGCACTTTTGGCACGGAGAGCCAGGAGCAGAGCCAGCCAGGTCCTCCGGACGGGCGCCTTCTCTTTGCAGTACTTTGCACCCCCACTATTCGGATTCAAGTAAGGTGTCCACCAGACCAGGAACCCACAGAAGTAGAAACCCTCCTGGGGGTTCCTGGTCTGGTAGACACCTTACTTGAATCCGAATAGCGGGAGTGCAAAGTCCTGTCGTCTTCTGCCTGCGAGAGGGAAACTGGTATTAAGCTGTATTAAATACAACTGCTATACTGCAGTGCTTCCTATCTAAACACAAACATGCATAAAGAGTGCTATTTGCCCTAATCTCCAAAGCAATTAAAACCAGTTTTCGATTTCTCTAAACAGCTGCGTTTGTTCTCCGCTGTGAAACAGTAGCTACTGGGACTGCACATCCCTGAACACATCACCCGAACCATGCGCAGGGGCTGCCTGGTTAGGCACTTTCCAGAAAGCTCAGCACCCCGCGTTTCTCTTCCACGCGCCCAGGTGCTGCTAGAGCCCAACAAAACAGCTCAGGGCCACGGGCTGCCCGCACACGCCTGACGCCTCAAGCACACGGCAGCCACTCTGCAGCACCAGCCTCTCAACCTAAACTGATGAGACAGCTTATGAACACCTAATCCATGGTTAAGTAATTTGCCGTCAGCATCATTCAAAAGTCCTCCGAGAGCTGAGGCAGAATAGTTTCTTAAAGCACTGGAGCCCTTCCATATTCAACGGGAACAAAGCTTATTTGTGACGGCTCTGACCATATTCGGCACAAAGTTCTTCTACAGTACGTGGCACTAGACATCCTAGCCGCTGAGTTTAGGACTTGGTACACAGTATGCTCTCACCTCCAAAGAAAAAGCGTGTTACGCGCACACTGGGGAGGGACACAGCTAACACAGATACTCGCGTCAAGGAAGAAAGAAGGCTTGGCAGTCTAACAGCCCAACGGCTCTGAAACACACGGATAGGTCTCTCCCTGCAGGACTTTGCCCACCTCGGACCAGCTCCTACTTACATCAATTTCTCCATCATCAATTTCTCCATCATCCTCTTCTTTCTTCTTCTCCTTGAGGGGATCCTGACTGTCCTTTTCATCATCACTTTTGCTGCTGGATTTTTTCTCATCTTCATGGGCATCATCTCCCTTCTCCTCTTCCTCATCATCCTCACCAGCAGCTTTCTCACCATCCTCCTCTGCAGCAGGAGCACTTGGCTCCTCAGGAACTTCCTCATCATAGTCCAACTCATGCTCATCTAGTTCACGGGTGACAGAGGACGCTTCATCACCAAGGTCATTTGTCCGGTCTTCCTCCTCTCCTTTGCGAGGCGGAGGGCTCTTCAGCTCCCCGCTTTGCTCGTTGTTGTCAGACTCCTGAGACTTGGTTTCGCTTAAGCGGTCCTCTTCATCCGAGTGGTTCTCCTCTTCACCATGACTCAGTCCCCTGGCTGCATCCTCCTCCTCTCCCAGGACGCTGCCTTGCCCACCCTCTCCATCA